TAGACGGCAACAGTCTACGGCAGTACCTCCACACTGGCGCTCTCCCTCCCTTTTTCTGTTGACTAGATAGAGTTGATAAACGTTTCACCTATGGTTCGTACAATCTACCATGTCAAACATGTATAATTTAGTTTCCACTCCCCCCGAAAAATAAACATCTCTTAAGCTTCAATACACCTTCAAGGGTTGGTTTTCACATCTAAACCTTGATTCTAGGAGCGCTTATGAAACCCCGGTGAGATATATTGAACATTTCAAATGTTATTATGGCGCTCCTCGGGCTTATATATGGGGTGAGGTTCAATAGACCTCTCCTGAGTTCTAAGAGCACCCCCAAGATCGAGTCTTACATGTGATATCTAATCCTGGATGGGCTCTTGAAGGCCTATTGAACCCGCCGATAGATTCGGAGGGCGGCACGCACTATGACGATTTTGGATATACGAGTTACTCTAGAACGTCGAGGTTTGGCCGTGAATCTTCGAAATGGTCTCAATTCAAATTCTAGGAGTGTCTTTATGAGAGAGTCACTGCCGAGTTCAAATTGAGTTTCACCCGTTTTACGTGAAGTGGCGATATTCGCGCCATGCAGTAGTTTTGAAATATGTTCTTCACTAGTGTTTTTATATCATGTGAAACTCCAATGATTCAGGTTTTCTATACCGGAACAAACACCATTTATTCGCGGTGTATTTCTCACTAAATGATCAACTTTTTGTCCGAGTAACTACCTTTGAATCAGCGCCTTGTGAAATATAATATATAAGTTGACAACTCCCCGAACGACTAGGAAACATTTGTGGGAATTCTGGGTGGAGGATGGACCCCGCAGTTACCTCCTTGCGATGAGTATGTCATTCATATAGCTCCTGATTCGTAATACAGAGAGCCTACTAATCACCGTGTAACCCGAACAGTTTATACTCCTTATATAGAATCGGCCCTGCTGGCAGCAGTACGACTCGACATGGCCTGTATTGTTATATCAGGCTGCCAGCTTATGGTCGCGTTTTATTTAATCATAGTTAGTGTGGAGGCTAGGTTTTATACTCTGTTCTCGATGGCCTACATCCACTTCGATGAAGCCAAGCGGTCGGAAGTGTCTGGCATTAAGGCGGACGTTACGTAATAGGGGGGGGACTTTCTATCATCCATGGGGTCCTATAGGAACGTCATTTCATATTGTGAATCGATCTCTAGAAGGGCATTTCATGCAGGTATTTTTACGAGCCGGATCATGGGAGCTACTACTATGGTGAGGGCCATCCTATGAAACCACAGCGGATACGCATGGCTCATGACTTGGTCGTCGGCTACGGCCTCTATAAGTGATCATAGGAGCTGGTAGCAGTCGGTGATAGGATGAATGTGTCAGGCATATGACGGTTTATCGCCCACATGTCGCCACCGATGCTGAGTTGACCAACTTCCATGGAGAGGAGTACATATCGTAAGTGAGATGGGATAGTGGAAGTTCGATTAGGAATGTTGTGTAGGTTCCTCAAGATTGCGAACGCTGATAATGTTCGTGATTATACGTCGCAGTCCAAACGATTTAGAGTGGGGGATATTATCACTGATTGCCCAGTTTTCGACGGCCTGTAAGAACGTTTATACGAGGCATCACATTTCTACTCTCGCTGTTGTGGTCCCCATCCGTTCCTTCTTGGAATTGTGTATTATTATTATTGCTTGGCTGAGTGGTTTCCTATATAATGTTTGTATGTCGTGGTCGTGCTCATCTGTGTAGTTCATGAGGGGCTGCATACTACTTGCAGTAGCAAGAGTAACTGAACTGATACAGATTTAGATAGAATACTTGTAGATACGATTTTCAGCGTACGCTGGCTGGGGGTAGCTTGGACGCAGCTCATGAGCTATGTTCTAGAAACGCTGATATAGCGATCAATTGGTGACAGGCTCATCCCGCTGTGTAGATTCGAACTTCGATACTTTTTAGGGCCGGAGGTCTACACCATGCAAAGAGAAATGAAGCATCGGGCTTCTGTTATGTCAACGATATCGTCCTTGCTATACTGGAGCTCTTGAGGTTCCACCCGCGGGTCCTCTATATTGACATTGACGTAAAAGGCGCCCGTTTGACGTACAATTATCGTTGCCTTATAGGTGCATCATGGCGACGGTGTTGAAGAGGCGTTTTACCAAACATCGCGAGTGATGACGGTGAGCTTCCACAAGTACGGCGACTTTTTTCCAGGTCTGTTATAAGTGTCCTTGTCTTTTGTTGGGTATTGTCATTTTGTAGGGACGGGTGATATAAGTGATATTGGCACTGGCGAGGGAAGATTTTACGCACTTAATGTGCCCTTGGACGAGGGCATCACTGATGACCTTTTTTCGGACCTATTCAAGACCATTATTACTCGTGAGTCATCCGCATGTGCGAGAGTTCTAGTATGGGATCTTCAGGTGTAGTCGAGATATATCAGCCAGGAGCAATAGTCCTACAGTGCGGTGCCGACTCTCTCGCACATGATCGGTAGGATAAAGCAGTACCTCGATATTAGTTGTGGACACTCGTGCCTTTATTCAGGCTAGGCCGATTTAACCTCACACTGCAAGGTCATGCTAATTGTGTTCGGCTGGTCAAGAGTTTCGGCATACCACTGTTGTTGCTGGGTGGAGGCGGGTAGTAGCTGTGTAGAGCCACAACGGTTGTTCCTTATCTTATTAGTCAGTAGTATACTCATCTGGTCAGGTATACTATACGTAACGTATCACGTTGCTGGGCCTACGAAACGGCTGTAGCGCTGAATCGAGATCAGGTGAGTAGTGAGCTCTGTGTTTATCACCTGGTGAATCTTGTCACCGTTTTCAGGATCTATCTAATCAACTACCAATGAACGATTTTTGGCACTATTATGCGCCAGACTATAAACTGCAAATACAACCTGTGGCCGCTCTGCACAATCTGAACGCTCCCAGCGCTCTGGACAAGGTTAAGACGGAATGTCTGAAGAACGTAGAGCTCTTGGTAGGCATTCGGTGGCGAAACTTAAACGGTGATATCGTATGTTTGTTGTCCACAGAAACACGCTCCAGGGGTAGAATTCGCATATTTGCCTAGTGATGTTATCGAGACCGCGAAAAGGCGAGAAGAGTGAGTGGCAGTGAGCTAGCTGTGGTCATTGGGCGCGCCTTGATTAAATTAAACTCCTAAACTTTCAAATAAACCGGGTATAATATTAATTTTCTTGGTATTTTATTAAACCCATGGGTAAAATGTTAACCGAAAAGGTAAAACATTTACCAAATGGGTAAAAAATTTAGTTTGTCGGTAAAAAATTAATTTGACCTGGAAATGCTGTAGTCATAGTATGTTCAAATTCATAGTATAAGGCACCGGAAGATACTCCTGGCTTCGGGGTGGTAGTTTCTACGAGGCGCAACTCGGGGAACTAAGGAACTGTATTCGGGCGAGCGTTGAGTTCAACCTCTCGAGAGGGTAGTGTCAGTTAAAACCAACTCTGTCAGTATCTCTCTCCCTCGTCTGCCTATCCCTCCTTGAAGGGCGTGTCAAAACCTCGTCGGCACCGCTTTCGTCATCATGTATCGTATGATAGAGCTTCCCATAGAGTACCAAGTATATTATTAGTGTAGATCTATAGAGATGCTCAGTGGACATTGCCCATCCGTATACACTGCTTTGGTAGGCAACGACAGGAGCGTCTCCAGATAGTGTCTGAGGAGCAGGAGCTTCTGGACGAGGATAATGACAATTATACCGAACGAGCTGTACGTGCTGATATGTTGGTAGTGTATTACTTACTGAGTATCAGTTACACGCATATAGGATGGGGTATTCTAAGAAGCGACGTAGGAATGATGCTGATGAAGATGACGAAGAAGGAGGCTATAGAGATTAATATGATTCTCGTCACTGTCGGCTTCTGTTATTCAAGTCGTCACCACTCGAGGACCACACGTTGGTTCATATGCAACATTTCACAAGTATATATAGTTTCAAGCTAGCTTTCGAGGTGTCGGGTATCAGTGTGAGTAGTATGTAAACTACTCTACCAATGATAGCGTGGAGCTCTGTATGGCTTAGCCATATGAACTGTAGCTTGAATTTTCGGAAGGGTGATCATTCCGACGTCGAAGTGGCGAGGAATATGTATGAATATGATGAGGAGGATATCTTCCATTCTATCAACACTGAATGTTGCGACGTTGTGGATGACTATACTGAGGAATGAAAGGGTTAGAGTTCAATGAATGCATATAACGCTTTTCTCAGTTTTGTCAAGTTTTCGTTCCTCATAACGGATCGAGTATGGAATGTGCTCGTGGAGGCGTTGGAGTCGGTTGTACCACACTATTTGTTGGGCTATACGCGGCATTTTTGTATACACCTTCTCTCACTTCACCTGCAGTATTTATGTTTCTTCTATGAAGTGCTCTATATCCAAAGTTCATAGGTGATCAGTTAGTACTGAACTCTTGGATGGCGGTACTCGGAATGAATATGCAAATGCTAAGGATGATTTACAAGGTGATGAATGAGGGCTCTCGATCTGAAGGGTTTTTTAGTGCTCGCTCCGCATATCTTGTCCACTGATATTCTCTGTCAGTATCTCACACGCTTTACTGAATGCGGATCTTCTTGCTTATGCCAAGTTTTTCTTATATCGTTACCTAATTCCCCCTAGATTCATCTATGTTGCAATTTGGGGGTATTTCTAATGTCCCGCGCAAGGATTCCCAATCCTCGCTTCAGTTTTGTGACCGACTACGTACTGTAAGTACCCTACGATTTATAACACTCTGCTGGCGCTCCAGATCGCACGCTTGGCTCAAACCGAAATGCCGTTGTACGAGGCTCTGTTAACCGAACAAGTCCTTGTCAAGGACCTCTTAAAGAGGCTTTGTGGGTTGGCAGCAACTTAGCACTGCTCAGTTAGCAGCCTCCAATGAGTATGAGACCGATCATTATATAATTGACACTGGAAGAATGAGAGCTCTCATAAGATCCAGACAAGTTACCGGAGCCGTCAAAGATTATTTCAAATACCTGTGGCAGCATTGGAATGTGGATCCAGATGATCAGTCACTGACGATGATATTTGTATTGGTCATTCTGAACTATGGTGGGTATGGCATCTCTGTCGCTATGTGTATCGAAAGGGCTTTCCGAGCGCGGCTTGGATGGCTCGCTCCGTCTCCAATCATCTGCTAACCTGGGTCTTTGACTGACTTTTCTTCCGAATATATCATTCGGGAAGAACAAGGTTCATCGAATAAAGGACAAGGCTAGTTGGTTAACGTCACTGCAGAAATCCCTAGGAGCAGAGCAGTTTTTGAGCTTCACACTAGATCTGTGGACGCGAAAGAACGTGGAAAGTGTGCTCGTAAGAGTGGTGCACCATATGGCTACTTCTGCGGGAGCACTCAATCGACTAGTCATACGATAGCGTTCGAGAGGGTAGAGGCTCGGCATACGGCGGACAATATACGACGTACCTTGAAGGACATAATCAAGTCCCTGGGTTCGGAGAGGCTGATGTCACACCAACGACACTAGTGTGCCACTAGCGTCGCTGGTCCAGGATCTCTGAGGTTGGCGCACATCCTTGCATTGATATTTTGCGGGGTGACCCGCGAATTCCTATTTTACCAACATATGAGGCTTTCATCGTAAGCCGAACAGCGAAGGGACAGCCATATAAAAGGGGGAATGATGAGAAGGTCTCTGCTCCCAGGCCTCTCTTGAGGGGTGTTGTGTTAGATCTATTCCTATAGATTGATGTCATCAATCCATCCATTTAATGGAGTAGTAATATCCGGACAGAGCTCTGGCTCTGTGTAAGGATGGCGTTCCAGTTGACTACTCTCATCCTGTATATAAGTTCGTAACATCATTGTTGATCAGGATCGAAGATAAGAAAACTTTCCCTGAGAGAGGGTATGCAATCCCCGGTATCAGAAGTTTCTTTCCTGTGTAGATTCCCGTTATGGCATTTAATTCGCATGATGCAAACTTGGCGGTGGAGCTGCCTGCACAGGGAGCAACCTGTCGATGTGGAGGGTGCTCCTCTTCGCTCAGGTCTGCATAACTGTTGGACATGACTACAGGTACTATCCATCTTGTTACGACATATGGAGCGTTAGCTTTTACGGTATGCGAATTCGTCAGGAAACCGTTTATGTGCTTCCTCTACTGCCAACCAGGTAATTGTGTGATCTGTCTCCTTTGTGGGAGACCCACGACTCCAGCTGAACTCGTTATACTCGAATCACTTTGAGCTGGATATGCTTTTTCTTTCTACTCTTACCTCAGGCCTACCTGTCTATCGAAGCTATGGTTGCTTGTGATCAGGGGGTGGTGGAGTCAGTCATTGATATCATCTTCAATCGTTCTAGGAGGCCGTTCGTTGTCTCTAGTGGCACTCTAGCGATCCTCCGGGTTGTAAGGTTGTTCAATTGGGTAGCCGCCTTCCATCACTGTGGAAGGTCGGGCATTATTCGACATGCTCGGTATTTGGGTATGTTTACAGATAGTCGGAGTGATTGGAAACCGAAAGGGCTGGAGTACTGCAAGGCGAGAGGCTGAGGATATTGCGGCTGGAGACTTGCTAGTTAGGATTGCCTATGGCAAGCCATCGCTAGGGCACACAATCGGAACGGCGGGACTGAAAACCGGTACCAGAGAGTAGATGGTCGAAACGGATCTGCGATGGGAGTCCGTCGCGGTCAAGTGACATGATGGTAGATTGGAAAGTGTTTCCCAGCTCATTGATTTTTGTTGGTGTAGACAGGGCTTCTAGGCTTGTTGGGAGGTGGCCCGATGGAGTTCCGCGGGATCTTCAATTCTACTCAGGCTCAAATTCGCTCTCACAAATCTGCAGTGGTAGCTGTACGGGTCGGATGGGGAGGGGCTATACGGGGCAGTGATTCTCTCTAATAGTCTTATCCTATGAGTAACGTCTTGGCTATGACTCCACCGAGACCCCGGGAAGGTGGCGAGGAGGTGAGAAGCCCGTGCAGAGCCGACCCAACAGCTGTTCATTCGCATAACTATTTGTATGGTAATAATTATACCTTAGAAAATGCCAGCAGTAGAAGCGCGGCCTACGTCAGGTCCGTATGGAGGAAGTGGGCATCGTAACGGCCACAGCAGTGGCCTTCTTATACCACTTCCTACGCCATGTCAGCTCTACGATATGGGTGACGATGGAAGTCCAGGTGGTGGGACTACTGCTGCTAATACTTCGGGTAGGAGTAGTGATGAAGATCGGCAGCTGCCTGTTAACCATATGGTCCTTCCGCGAGCGGCCCGGGAGGTCCATAAGAGTGCTCCGTGCAAGCCCAGTGGTGGGTATATGGAAGGCGCCCGAGGATTATCCGAAGATACAACCGCGGGAGACTCATGGTGCAGTGACACTAATAGTTCCGACGATCTTAGTGAGGCAGCAGCCCTCCAGTCATCACTCGAATGGGCTAATTCCGATCCGCCGATTCCACGTCCCGAAAACTATTCGCGGACGAAACTATTCCTTCCGGTTCCTGTAATAGGAGGCATGGTTCTCCATTACGATGAGCGTGTGGTATGATCAGATACGCCCGCTGCCGGGTTTCCTCTGCAACCAGGTTCTAACGGACACGGAGGTCCCTCCGTATGGCCTGAGTCCAGTCAGCATACCGGGGGAAGACTCCCCACTTGACGATGAGCTTGTTGCGACATTCGATAGGCTGAGGTGATATCATGGAGGGGCACTCCTGTCGGAGAACCTCCTGTGAATAGGTTTATGGCAATTGGAATATCAGAGACGTCGGGGCTACACGTGCGGCTTCATTATGGCGATCGAAAGCTGGTGAATGCAAACGCCGAAAAATATCAAGTAATACGTGGAATGTGAGGATTGAGTTCGCGACTCTGACAATAACTTTCCAGCCGCAAGTTGAAGAGTTGAGGCAGCGTTGGGTGGCAGAGAAGTGCCCACCGCGTCGTAGTAGAGGTAGAAGACGCCATGCTCGTAGCACTACCTTTGATGGGCTCGGGTCCGCAGTAGTGACGAGTATGGGCGGCGCTCCTCACTGGCCTGCAAGCACCAGATTTGACAACACTAGCCAAAGGTGCAGTGGAGTCACTACGGGCAAGAGAGCTACTCTTGGACGGAGAGGAAGTCCTAATAGAGGTCGGAAGCTCAGCATACGGATGAGGCTGTGACGGAGTCCTTACTTGTTCTCAGAAGTTCGACAGAGGTCAACGGCGACTATGGGGATGATTAGTTATAATCGTCGATTTCGGAAGCAGCAAGTGAGGTCACTAATGCAAGGAGGAGGAGTAGCAGGTGGTCGGTCACGGAGGGCTTCATCACTAGGACTGGCTTATAATGGGGCGATTCCACCAGGAGTTGGTGGTGGTCCTGAGGAAACTGCCACCAGGGATCGATATTCAACGAAGCTGTCAAGCTGCAGGTATCGCCTACGTCGAAAGGCCGATAGTGAGAAGTGAGTTTTTCAGGTTATTCTGAAGTCGGTCAGGAAAGATTACGATTTGCTAAGTTTTGGCACGTGAAAGGAATCACGATCGATTTTGACTTCAGCTGTTCTCTTTTTCAATTTTTGAAATTTGGGCTTCAACAACAATGCCGTACCCCCTGCTCCCAGCGTTGACCCTTTGAACAATCAGGACTTCCTCCTAATCCCTCCTCCCCTATCTATATCCGTCCTAGATAGACTAAACTACATATGTCTCTTGATATACCACACTTTCTACCAATACAGTTTATTACTAGTCATTGCATCGAGTCTCATCACGAGTCGTCAGTATAATGCCGGTCGTCGAAGTTCATTCTGATATTAGTAGTGTGTTCCAAGTTTCTCCCTCTCTCACATTGTATCTTTACCCTTCTATTTTACTAGACTTGACCGCCGGCTCTGTCGAACCAATCAGAAACCGCACCTCTGGTGGTCTCTATGCACATCAAAGTGATGCCCAAGTACGTCCACGTGACTTGCAGTATCCCGTCGGGGTCCACCAGGTGTTTTTCGAAACCACTATTTCTGTACACGCGCTGGATTGTTGATGTTGCATCGCCTGTTAAGGCGAAGCCAACAGCATTACAAACAGGGTTTCTAGTCAGTCTGCGAATTCGGTTGCGTTGAAAGTTCTACATGAACGTAGAAGAGAATACGGTTCCATCAGCGCATCCTGAGTTGGAATTCAAGGCTCCGACCCCCAAGACATCCCCCCCTAACCGATATATGGTAAAAACCATTCGACTGAGCCTTGAGGTTGTCCTAGGCTGCAGTCAGCATTCAACGAGCAGTTAGATCAGTAGGACACTCACTAACGAACGCATCGTGTAAGCCGTGATGGTGGCGGGTCGCGGAACTATACGGAAACCAATCCTGCGAAGTATACAGTATACGAAGACTAGCACAATAATACACTATCATGTCTCAGTTCATAGGGAACTAACAACATTTCACGGAGGCAGGGAAAGAGATATCGAGGATCACTTTGAAATACTCCTCTTTGTACAACATGAGTTTAAAGGGTTCCGAACATGCCCGCTGTATAGGAGAACGTTTGTTCCGTGATCCAGTAGCTCAAACTAAAGGGAAGCTCTTCCGAGTATTGGATAAGTAGTTGTTATATAGCGATTCATCACCGTCATCAGAATGCCAGGAATCCTCAGCACGGTCATCCCGCTCGGCGGCGGGTTCCTTGTTGATGGCACAGTCCATTCTGGAATGGTTTCATCAGAACGAAGAGTTTCATCCCAACCTCAATTTCGCTTCCCACTGCGTTACGGAAATTGCGATGACAATAACTCGCGACCTCTTTGGCAGTGACAGTGATAGGAAGGGTCAAACGTACACAAACGCAAAAATTGTTCATTTGTTCCGCCATAAACATTGTCTTCCATGTGTGGCAAACAGTTATACAGCACCGACGCATGCACAAGGTCAGACCGTAATCAACGACGTTGGAACATACTTGCGTTATCCTCTAAAGTGATCCGAAACCGTTGAGGATGTTTATGGGCATCTATGGGTCGCATTTTCTGTACTCCTTGTCCAATTTGGCTAACCTACTCCGGCGATACTGGCCGGGACATTACCAATCATGTTGAATATCTGGAATTCACGAACGTTGCTTATCTGCCAAAATAATGCAAATTCATAAGTCGGAGCACTGCGATTGGATCGCGATTTGTAATTTTCCACTCAAGCTCATAGAAGATGACGCCCCAGGAAACAAGCAAACTCTAAGCGGAGGTCGCCAGGCTCAGAAAGACCTTTAATTATAAGGGGCTAATGCAAAGCTTCCAATTAATAAGATACTCTCACTAAGTTCTGCCACACGAAGGCAGCATGTTCTGGTTGGAGCGCACGTACTCCCACAGAAAGTCTGATGCATCGAGCAGCTCTCGAGGAAGAGGTTGCGAGGGAGCTGATTCGAAACCGGGCGATCATCCTCCACGATGGTGGTCACCTCTGTGCTCTTCGACTAACAGCTTCCCTGACTTTAGATTGACTTCACAATCGAGACGAGTCCGTCGGAGCTATACAACAAGAACATGGGTCGAGCAGGCCTACCCGGATGTCTGGCGTGATTTACAACGGAATGCGTGGCACGAATTCCTCTACTTGCCTTAGGCAAGTTGCCTACCGTCATGTTTTTCGGCAGTTCCGCGTCGCGTTTCCGAGCTTGTGGTGACGGATATAGGGACAACTCAAAACACTGGGAGCTGATCTTTGTCACCCGTGGCCAGAACCTATGATTAGAAAGGTGTTCTTCTCGAGTATCTCATCTCTCGGGCCTCTACTAGTCTAAAACCATAACCTGGAACGATTATAGTGCAACCCATCATAGTGATAGTATCATTATGCTATTATGCATTTAATTGGAGTGACTCCATTAGAGCTTCTTGTAATAGACCACGATATAGAATACGTCATGTTGCATGATCCATCACGTATCACTTTAAAAGGGATGCCTCTCTCGATTTCCCAAACTCCCGTAATAAACTCCGCCAGCTCTTCTCAACATCCGTCAAGACGGTTTGACTACGTGGTGCGTCGCGAAAGTAGGCTGTATCGAACTCAGAAATAGTATTCAAGCTCTCACAGTACGCCGCACCAGCAAGCGGCACTTACAGACTTTCACATTGTCGTGGCAGGACGATATTGACGGTTCTTTTGCTTTATCGGGACGGGGTTTCCCTAGAAAGCGCCCCACCGATGTTGCTCGCGATGACTCCATGGCAGAGTCCATTTCTATCGAGGCCTACCATTGGGGACTCGGCTCTCCCCCGAGATCGACTTCAAATCACGACGCGGATGGGGTCCGAGCACAGTCTCGGTGACGGTGGTTCTTTCCTTGAGGAATAGAGCATACCCTGATTTTTTAGTGACATGAGAGTCACAGCTTTCGGCCGTATCCTTGAGCGTGTTACTCTGCCCATCAATGGGCCGTTCGCAGTTGACTGCATGACCTATGAACATGCATTGGAGAACGGGAAAATCCAACCACCTCGTCAAGATGGAAATATCTCGATGAGGACTTAGAAGGTCCGCCTTACTCACATCAGGCGTAGCGGCAGATTTTTCAACTCGTTCTGGTCCAACGCATGCGTCAGCAGTATCGATGACGAGGGTTTGAGCCGTCTGATAACATGAGCAATACTGCTACGATAATCAACCCTCCTGGACTGAGGAGTTCACCTTAGAGTTGTCCCGTAACGAGCATTCTAAGATATCGACATCCTCGTTGAACCAGGCCATGTCTGGAATATGCGGAACTCGATGCTTCAAGCGGTGGCAGAGTATCAACCAATGCCTCTCCGATGCTTCCCTACTCCCCGAGGATCAACCGATTGCAGAGCCCTATGGGTAGCGGTCACCTTGCAACACGTTCCGCCAGATAGAGTTCCTTTTGAGTAGTCAACTAAAGCACACAATTTGTTCTATGCACTGATGATGTGCTGAAATAACGACCTCCTCTTCTAAGCGAATTATCTCTTTCTCGGTTCCGTTCATATTTACACTCCCCCCACTGGGGCTGTATGAAGTTGATCTGCCTGAGGGGCACCATGATGTTCGAACACTCTGAAGCTAGGTTATATAGTCTTGGTATAGGTCGACAATTTTTTTCAGTATAACACGCCCAGGGAAAATAGGAGTTTGTGACGATGCTCACCGCTTTGTTCGCAACGGTGTTGTTGATCGCGTTCCAGTAGAAGCGCTTGCTCGAGCTCGGATGCGGACCTCGATAGGATGTCTACCTGTACCGTCTGATTCTGAATCTCAACATGTCGGGAATTTAGGAACAATCGCTTTCGCACAGGCGGAAGGTCTAACTCGAGCTGGCTCAGGCATTAATCTGCGAGGCTCCCCACGGCGGCGTGAATTTGCGACGACAAATTTATTATTTTAGTCGTAGTGTTGAAGCCGTAAAAGTATAGGGATTGATACTGAATGCGAGGGCGAGCTTCTCACTTGCGATTCGAGCCAGGATATATATTCCCGACAACCTTCACTGCAACCTGTAGAGCGTTCCCCCGTAGTTTTCTCGCTGAAAAGACACGGACGGGACAGAAGATGCGCGGATGAACATTATCACTCTCTGACGGATGAGCACCGCAGCTCGACAGTAACGTCAGGATTACCGAGTGTCTTGGGGGATCGATCTGGTGTCGTCGCTCCCAGTGTCCCCTATACTGTCTATAGGGGCTGCGAGAACAGTCCCTGTCGGCGACATATTGAGTTTGCAAGCGGAACGCTCTGATGGCGAGATTCGTATTCCACATTGTTCGAGTTGTGGACTGGAGAGCACACCTCCATCATGTGTACTACGACGCACAAGTGCCCTCGGTGTGTCTATTGTATTGAGGGTGAGTTACCGTTAACCATATGGGAAACATAATGCACCAGGCTTTCATGGTTTGAATTCCAAGCTCCAGTCAGCGAGCCACATCAATGAGACAGTCAGTCGTTACAGGCGAGCGACGTAACTGATACCCTGGCGGGCGGGTAGGAGGTGAAAAGTCAAAGAGGAATAGCGCCCGTCCAAGCGTAGCAAAAATCTAAGCGTGACATAGTGAAAATCTAGGCGAAGAATCCATCAGATAGATCATTAAACGATCTATCTGATCAATACTGTCGATAAGAGAGTTGAAATTTTGCAGTTCATCGCGACCTAGTTGCCTAGCACTGTATTTACAGAATATTTCCAGAATAATGGCTGAAGACTTCGGCCTGCATCTCGCTGAGGATACACTCGAAGGATTTGGAAGATCGGATGCATTTCATCTCAACTCGGCAAGACTCTGATGGTGGTATTCCACCCATGAGGGTGATTAACTCGCGGGGCACAGGTTAGGTCCGCGAGGAGAGGATCCCAGGGACGGGTTGTCGTAACTACACCTTATCCTCATGCCCATGGTTGCACATTGTCTGATCGAGCACGCCTATAGATTAGTCTTAAGAAGATCGACCTATAGTATCGGTCGATTGGTTTGATGCCCGAGTCGATGTGCGCAGATATCGATCAGATGGGCGCGCGCGACATTGCTACGAGATGATCATCCACTCCGCTCCGCCAAAAGTATTTTGCATCTCGCTCGCCCTAAAGCCACTACTAACGATCGCTAGAAAAAATATTCTTTCGAGCTCGTTACAACTTTATGTCGAATTTATCTAAACGAATTCAATCCAAATGGTTTGCCATTGCACTGTTGGTGATGATGCAGATTCGGATCGAGAGTATGTTGACTTTTAAGCACAGGAGGTAGCCTATAACACGACGTTATAACCGTAGATATGAACAGTAGAAGATACAGAATAGGTCCGATTATTGGCATCTGGTGTAATATCGATCAACCCTCAGTGGTACTTTTGTTCATGGATGTCCCTTCCAGTGTGAAGCGACTCAGCCCTGTCGATGTTCACTCTGGGATATCAGGGCAAGGTAGGAGCCATTGCGCGGACGACGACTTCAGGTCTTCCCTAACAGGTCAAGTGGAAGCACTCTCGATGACTAGTACAGCCTCTCAACCTCGCACACCCGACCGGCGCCTACCGCCTCCTAATGCTCATGCGATAGCCTCCAGTAGTGACCTTCTCAAAATCGTGAATCCACGGCCGCCTTTTCTCAGTGGATACCCCTTATCGCGATGGTGCACTTTTCACACCATCAGCTGGAGAGTCAAGCTCACAGCTCCCGCATAGCCTGACAGGTGGCACTTGGTAGAGAGTTGTCAATGGCCTAGTGTTGATTTCAGAATTACGGGAACTTCTGTTGGTGTATCGAAGAGATGTGCGAGTTTTGAGGCATCAGCTGGGGGCTGTTATGGAGGAAAATGATGAACTGAGGTTAGTCGCTGCCAGCGGGTCGGCAGTGAATTGGCTGAATCACTCAGGCGCGACTTGACGGTGGAAAGAGAAATGAACGGCGAACTGACTAATGAGTGCGAAAGGCTGCGACAGGAGGTATCCAATATGCAGGATGTACTATTCGAGGAACAATGCTGGAGTGATTATGTTGAAGTCGTTGCAGGTTATAGAAACTGAGAGAGTTTCCCATTTATGTCGGCTGATACAGTGGCGAGGTGCGGTGTCGATACGAAGCCCTCAATTGTTGTTGGACATGGCTCGCCGTCGACAGTCGCACACGGGTGGTAGAGCGACGATAGGTCGTGATGATGATGATGACGGTACTCGGACGGCCACTTGGAAGATGTCACTGGGGCCGGTGTCGTTGAGAATTACGTGTAAGTGGGCTAGGTAGAAGGAGAGAATCCAAGGTTGAAGCATGAAAGATTCAGAATAGGTTAGGTTGGAGAACCTAGTAGTAGTATTCAACTATAATTTGACAAGATGATAATTTGCAAGTAGTCATGATGCAATTCACACAGTGATCGATCGTGTCCCCTTCTAGCGAAGCCTAGTGAACTACCCGAAGGAAGATATCGCGTCTGAGATATCTGCGCACTCGGAAGATTCGCGGCTTCATTGGGGGCGCATGAGGTAGCAGCTTTTAACCGTTTATCGTCACGTGTGTTACTGTAGTAAATAGTAATCTTTCTTGTCATATGTGCTGAGTTATCAATCCGATCGGGTTTGGTAGCATTCAATTCAGCTAGTAGTAGCAGGGTAACATATCAGCGACGATATAGTAGTAATAGTAGCAGGTTAGCACATTAGCGATACGATACTGTAGTAGTAGGAGTAGTAGTAGGAGTACTAGTAGTAGTAGAAGTAGTAGGAGTAGTAGTAGTAGGCTAGTACCTTAGCGACGATACTGTGTTATGCGATTCACCGCTCAGTGTTGTTGAGGATCGATACACTTTTCAATGGGAAATTACCTCACTACAGCGGAGCGATGCAAATACTGTTTGGGAAGGCGACCAAAACAGCGTAATGGCTTTGGCTTATTGAAGGCGACAAGGCAGGACTATAAACACACGGAGGAGGTCGAGAGCGTTCAAGTGGTGGCAGTCCTGAATTGTTCCTATTAGTTTTTGACTGCCAGCAGTACCCCAGTACTCGAACCAAGTGTTATCGTATGTGAGGCAGAGGTAAGTGTTTGTGACAATCCCTAATCCGGGTAGAGGAGGTCGCAGGTTCGATCCCCGGTCCCGACAACTTCACGTATATCACCTTTGCATAGCGAGTCAGAAGTCGTGAATCTTTCTAGTGAGGAGTAAGTTACTGAGAAGAAACTCATTGAATGCTATACGGAGCTTCCCTTTCAGCTGGCATAGTGCGACTAGCCCTTCCAATGATTTTGGAGACCTCGATGAAGTAGGAGTACTATTGCTCGCACTACTCCTACGTGGTGGTCACCACAGTATATGTAGCCGTCCATCGTGTCGCCGATCCCAATACAACAGTCTACATCGACTGTAGATGAGAGCTTAGCAGTATCACCTGAGGTTGTTGGTGCGGATCAACGGGAGAGTACTGACGATCCTGAGAATACTCCTACGAAGGTGGGCGCCTTGTTCGTACGCTCATCGTGCATGATTACGCGCCGTGGGACGTGGTAGTTTAAGGGTTTGCAAATTATATTAAAATGGGGATGGGTGGTTCTCAGACAGGACTGTAGCCTTACTCTCTGTTTCCGCGGCAGTGATGGTTGAACTCAAAACGAGCTTAGAATGGATTTTTCAATTTGTTTTCGAGTATTCCTAGTAAGGTTGACTTGGACGTGGCAGCCTCCTGAATTGTTCACTAGTAAATTCTCAGGGTGGTATTCTCTACTATGGTAGATTCTGCCTCATCCTGCTAGTCCATCACACAGTCATGGACATATGTCGAGTACCATCACTCCTGTCAGTCGATCGGTATTGTACAGGGGATCGGAGGCAACATCGTTGAGTAAGTAGCTTGGGCAACTTGTTTCAGTAGAAGGCTCATAGGGGGATGCTATTGTGAATTCGAAGCGGTTACGGGATGGAGGAATATATGTCCGCTTTTTAATGTACCTCCGGAGTTTCCTCATCAGTGTTGGAGGAATATATGTTCGCTTTCCTCAGCTGAGCTCAGGAGTTTCCTCGTCAGTGTTGGAGGAATATATGTTCGCTTTTCTCAGCTGAGCTCAGGAGTTTCCTCATTAATTATAGAAGTTTACATACAAATTCGGGTAGAATTTCCTCAATTTTCCTCCCAAAATCTCCACAAATGTCACGTGCACATGTAGTTGAGCATGTGTCTACTTTCCCACGCCGTTTCCTATTAGGTATAGAGGTTCATATACGAACTATACTAGATGTGCACAGAAGCCCATTAGAATTTCCGCAAATTTTCATATTGACATCAACACATTTAGCGGACCATGTGCATATTCCTCGACACTGCTTACGAGCATTACAAGGGGAATCCATATTGTGCAGAAAAGGCTCGTGTTTACGTTTTTTTCCTTAGTAGAAAATTCATAGGGGACGTACTCGTTTTTGGAAATCAGTGTAGCTAGTCATTACTCTCTTGTTTGTTATTGTCAGTAACGTCAGAGTATTCTCTGTCTTCATCAGCAGCTGCCTACTTTTCATCAGAGCGCGGCCTCATCATGTCATCTCAGCAGGCGATAAAGGGCTGGATACAGAGGAATAAGGGGGGGTACTGGGATAGGTGGAAATGGTAAGGCTCGTGAAGTGGAAAAGGAGTGGTATGAGTTTTCAGGTGCTTTGCTGTTCTGGTTGTTGATGATGGCTGCACTAGATTGAGCCTATGGCGAACTGATAGGGACTTTGAGGATCGATTAGTGAATGCCTTGTCAAGCTGCATGCCCTTGTGAGTTCAGCTTGTTGTTGGGAATTTCCTATGTTTATAGTAGTGACTCGTACACCTTTGGAGGACGTTGTGGCAAACACGTTGTATGCGAGTCTGACTGGGGTCGAGTACTGGTTGTATTCGATCATGAAGGCAACTGCTGTGTGAAGCTACGGTAAGTAGTCAACTTTCATAGTACACTCTACTACTACTACTACTACTACTACTACTACTACTACTACTACTACTACTACTACTACTACTACTATTACTACTACTACTACTACTACTACTATTACTACTACTACACTGGAGTTTCGCGTGAAGTTGCGTAATACTTCATGTGAAAAACGCTATCTGAAATGAATTGATAACACTTTACAAATTACCCCGGGCAAATCACCCCATATCACGTGTACCCATATCACGGGTTTTACGCGTTATTCACTCCTCATATGCGTTTTTCGTGGAGTGGAATATGTTTGTCACAAGTATTTTTTCATATCACGGGTGCAATTACACTGTAGTCGTTTAATGCTGATACATTATCAATATGCATCTACATGCACTCTAGTAGTGAGAGAATCTGAATGACAATCGCCTATGGTTGCACGCTCACTGTAACCAGTGGGGATTTACTTATCAGATGCAAAGAGCCGAAGTCCTCACCTTATAACATAACTAGATGGTTCGACATGATCACAACGACGACGCCCATTGTCTGATGCTGCTGTTGTTGTCCATCAGCATTCGAGACTTTGTTCTCTTTTCGGAAGAGATATGGGTTGTGTTGTTAATATCGGGAAGACTGATGATTGTGATGGCGATACTACTTGTCTTACCGGTTCATATCAAGGCTCGGTAAGTGGCTGAGCCTGCAGCCATACCCCTAGTTAAGGGGTGCTGTGCAAGAACAAGAATACTATACTACTACTAAGTGATAGGGATGATACCATAACTCTATCGAATACGATTACTAATTCTGTGACTCGTGGTAGCTATTTCTAACAACCACATTCAATACTGATAAATCCCCTACTCTTGTCCACACTTCTGCCATCGCTGCTACCAGCACTAACTGTCCACATCTCTTCCAATGGAAAACAGAGGTGGACATCATGAGCCTGTCAATGTTGCACGATTCTCTTTCTGTTAGATCCACACCGAAAAGGCAGCGGCCTACATTGGCACCATACAAAGAGGTAAGTCTGGGTAGCGCCTAGTGAGAAAGGCTCTTATGGTGTTGTTCTTAGTGGGACTTGAACACTTCGGCAATCCTGCCGGTTATCGATGAGGATAAATGGAAGCAGCTGGAAGTCCCAGCCAAGGGTGGCCCTCCGCTGCCTCTGGTACCGGGCCTGAATATTGATGATAGGGAGAGTATCAATGCTGATCCTCAACTGAGATGGGATGCGGAGAAGTAGGGCTATGTGTGAGCATTGGCTGGAGGGATGCGCTCAGGTATCCGGTGGGACTGAAGGCAACGCCACACCCTAAGGTAGAGGGCCCGCAGTTGGATGAGAAGGTCAATAACATGATGCCAAAGTGAGCTAGTAGTTGTTCTGAGGTGCGTCACTGTATGCCTTATGTCAGTGTCGCGCAGCTTGTGAATCCACGTGGATGAGGACTGGATACTGTCTGTGACTTGTTGAGTTTACCGGCATGGGGAAAGCGGAATCTATACTGCAGCCAATACTTGATGTTATGATTATCATTCTTCTTCTACTGCTACTAAGCACAGTTTATGGCATCCAATCAGCAGATCCTGAGAGAGCTGTGAGAGACCCGGTGCCACTACCGACGTCGACTGGCATTACCTCTTCCAAGAAGCACGTGGCAGCCAGAGTAGATATCTCAGAAACTGCCGAAGAGGAGTATGTTGTCCTCAGATAGATGGAGTGAAGGTAGATCTCGGCAAGCCTGTGGATTACGGCGCGCTGATTGGTCCTTCCCGAGGAGTGAGTAAGGACCGACCTCAGCCTCCTAGTATGTTTGAAAAGCCGGAGCTATCATGGAGCCAGAAGTGAGATCGTCGTTGTGAGCGACTAGATGCTTGAAGAACCGACTCAGCCTGGACACGACAATCCCGACGTACAGTATCACTGCGGCGGTGCCGGTCGAGTCCAGGGGCGTGGAGGAGTGGCTACCGAAAAAGGGAAAGTAAGGGGAAGTTTGTTGAGCTACGCTTAGCTATCCTTTGTGAACTTCACGATATGACATGAATACGTCATCTTGGCTGCTCTCCTGTATTAGTTTTATCAGAACTAGATGCATGCCATGCACTCAGTCGAGTGCATTTCATGGCTTATTCGTTGTCAGTCTAACGCGTCTTCAAGAGGAAAACCCTGCGGCATTTGCTGCTACTACACCGGATGATGATGATGTCACTGAGAAGAAGGTAAGCAGTTTGTATTGCCTACGTGAGGTTGCATTTGTTAACCTCAGTTGAAGAAGATCGCACGAGGGTAGTGTACTGACACATGCAAGGTGGAGGCCTCGTTGGAATCGTCACTCGTGTGTCGAGTTTGATTAATGGGGACATTCTCCCTCACATTCTGCATGGGAAGTGGAGCGGAGATGTTCATTCTTCAGCCATTACCCCGTAACTGTATGTATGTCATAATACCATATTTTATACTATTGCTACGAAGCGTGTCGTCGATGACGATTGAGTGGCAGTCTACTTCTCCGAGGGGTTCCTCTTTCCTGGGGGGAGATGATGACGATACGGAGGATATTAAGAATCATATAAAGGCAACGAGAGCTCTATTGACGCCTAACCTCAAGCACACGGTTGGGTATTGGGGTGATTGGATGTAGGTCTCGAGTTCGATCCCTGCTCCCTACATTTTCCCCTCAGGAATCGCTTTTGCAACGGAAGGTTTTGGACTATTACCTGTGGACAAGTAGCGTTTCGGTACACGAGGTCCGCGGATAATATACGGAAAAAGCTGACCGTGGAGGTGAAGGCGGCAACGAAAATGTGGGCGCATCGTCGGGTTTCTAAACCTGAGAATATGCTTTTTTAGGGTATCCGATTTGACTAAGGACGTGGATGAGTTATCGAAGTCCGATCTGCAGCCGTTGGCCGACCTAACGGATATGGAGCGAAAGTGAGGGAGACTCCATTGGATAGCAAGAGGAATGCTGTTGTTGTTTAGGAAGGGAGACAAAGGCATGATGGAAAAGGCCGAGGCTGTAATGAAGGTCCTGGCCTTGCTCAGGCCAGTTGTGGTAAGTGTGGAACCTGACTCTCATACGCTCAGTGCTCATTGAGGGTCGATTGATCGTCAATTTAATGCCGTCGATTAGGTTAGGAAGGGTATAGAATACACGGAGGAATTTATGCGTTTAGAGGAAATTCTTATGTAAACAACTTTCCTATAGCGATGACAGTAGAGTGATGGAGGGGTGGGGTTATGATAGCTGTGGGCTTGGTGATCAGCAAGTTGAACTGTGCTGTGGAAACCGGTTGTTGTTGTTGTTGTTGTAGGTGGAGACTATGACCAGTCAAGAGAGAGGCATGAAGGATGTTGAGGAGTAGGATGACTTAGTGCAGTCGGTGTTGTATCTGTAACGTTTTCAGAGATATCAAGAAGACTGTGACACAGGAGAAGGAGAACTACGATGAGTTATTCGAGAAGGTGGGTTGGGTCGTCTGCATCGGCCTCGACGTAGTTCATAATGCGTCGCTTGAGCGTTGGTTCCCCTTCAGGACGCGGCAAAGTTTGCCGATATAGCGCAGCGAAACGGCAAAGTCCTGCTCACCAGTACCAAGAAGATCTACCTCAATCTTATGAAGGTAAAGTTGAATGTCATCGGTTTAGACGATTTAGTGGGTGCTTCAGTCGATATCAGTACTTATAAAAAAGGTGTACAAGTTGCAGAGGGCTCTACTGATAGTGACAGCGCGGCATGCGAAGCACAGTACTCGAATCCTCAACGAGGTAGGTCAATCGTGGGGGTGTAGATGTCGATGACGATGGCATGCATCAGCTGGAGAGGACGACACGCTTCTTCATAGCGAGAACGGATCGGGCTGATAGTACATTGCGGAGCTTCGTCACGGCAGGTCCCGAACGACGAAAGGCGATTAAAACGTGAGTTGGAGGGAATACTCCAATTGAAAATTGTCTCGTCTTTTCCTGTCCCTCGCGTATTCTGTTTATGTATTTTGATTAGGGTCATGACACAGTTGGGAGACTATCAGAAAAATATCGCCCTGAAGAGGTTTCAGCGCAGTGCGAGTAGAATGGCTGGCCAGGTGAGCATCTGTCCAGGGTGGACGATTTGAGACGATGATGTTGTTCTTCTTCTTGTTCATCTTCAGTCTAAGCGTAAAGTGCAAGCAACTGGTCACAAAGCCATTCGAGTACTGAAGGTCGACGATAAGGATATAAGGAATCGGCAGAAAAAGAGCGATAGGGCATTCTATGCGCGACTTCGGCTACTACGACGGAGGAGAGAGACCATAACTCGGGATACTCTTCGGGTGATTCCTGGTCCCTCCCCTTCGTGCTCCATGATGCCTCTGTTAGGATTTCGGCACGGCTGACCGCCACTTCTCTGACGAGGCGGGCTCGGATAGTGTCTCTAAATGGCCGTTGGTGAATGACCTCCTCAAGGCAGCTGAGCATCAGGCATCGGCAGTAGATGAGCTAGGGTGAGCTGTGGCCGCTTCAACCGTTGCAAAGGGAGGGCCTATATTAGTCTGTGATGTCGAAGTGATGTCGTGAACGAATAGAATCCTTGTCGCTTCGTGATTCTATTGAAATTGTGTTGTTGTTGCTCGCAGAAGTGAGATGCATGGGATAGTGGAAGGAGCTGAAGGACCTCATAAACTGCTTGGGGACTCCCTCAAGGAAAACGAGAGGAATATGGAGGCTAGGATCGAGCAGGAAACTGAGGAAATGAAGAGGGATGTAAGGATGTGGTCGCGGGTTCGAACCCCGGATAGAGTATTTCTTGTGGTCAGACAAGCAGAGAAGCGACACAGGTGAACGCCGATCTGAAGGATCTCCAGATGGCGGCGCAGAATGCTGCTGGACGAGAGGTAACAAACTTGTTTAGAATTTCGTGGCGCGTGACAAAATTTTCTCTTTGTTGATGATGACCGTGATGAATCATCTCAGCGTACACTGGGTATGGCTAAAGTGAAGGAAGTAGAACGGCAAGAGGCTGCAGTGGAAGAGGCCGAGAAGTCGCAACTCGACAACGCGGACATAACTCGTGGACAGAGCGAAGCGGAGATGAAATCTGACATCGGGCTGGCGGCCACTCAGGCAGAGTGAGTCGAGCGTGTTGCTGTCGATGGTGATGTTGTTTCTGGGCTGTAGTGGCAAGCTGAACAATATGGCTGACACTGTGAAGTCCCGAGAGGAGGCAGAAGGGAGGCTGGTTGAGGCACAAGCGGTTGAGGCTGATGAACGGCAGGGCAAGATGAAACGTGAGAGCATCTTGTCATGGCGGTCCTTCTCGCCACGATTCCTGAGTTCCGGTTGGAATGGTATGAACTTACTACATTTCAGAGGCTCTATCGGAAGGCCAGACACAGCGAGTAGCGGCCTTGGATGCGGATATGGGTGCCATAGCCGAGACCAATAAGGAAGAGTACCAGCGTATGCAGGAGCAGTTGAAGCTAGAAGGGAATGATGAGAAGAAAGGTGGGCAGGCGCGTTGCTGCGATGCTCGACGGTGGCCACTTCAGGTGTGAACGCGACTTCGTCACTCGTGAGCGGCACGGCTGATGCTGTCCACAACTCGGAGGAGCAAATGGGCGCCTTACATGATGAAATGAGTGCGGCTAACGCTAAGGCTCAGCAGGGCCTCGATAATGCACTGAAGGACCTTGATCATTTATCCAGGTAGGCCACGTCTGGTGACCTACTGATGAACCTGTCTGTTGCCAGTGGGGGGTCTGCGGGTTTGGATCACCTACAAGCGGACGAGACACATGACCTCACTAATTCTGTCCAGGAGGTGGCTGAGACTGCACATAAGGATGTCGCAGAGGCTCGCTCTGATACCAAGGTCGGTTCGCTCGGTTGGGTATTGCCAATCGCTTCTCCTGTGTCAGAATCGACTTCAAGCGGCACTTGGAGAGATGCATGCCCAGATTGGGGGAATGCTGGGGAATGAACAAGAGATGGATAACACATTAATTGCACTGTCCTCAGATGCTGCTAAGGTAGGTTCGAGAAAGGGAGCTCGTCGTGTATCGCACATGGCGCAATGTCCGACTTGAAAGCTCGTTTAGGAATTTTCGAGAAGAATCTTCGGATGAGATGAATTCTTCCCGGTGTAGGCTCAGACGAGGGCGAGAGAGATAGCGCATGAGAAGGCCGCAGAGCATGATGAGATTCTCGGCTACCTATCGAGAAGCTATAAGCAGAATCGCGATGATATGTCTAAGGTGACTTCTTCGTGGGGGAGGTCCATGGTTCTATCCCTGGGGGTATCATTTTTATTACAGCTCCCATCGGAAATAGAGGCAAAAGGGAAGAAGCAGCTGACGAACGCCAAGAAGCTATTGAGCGATGAGATGCAGAACCGCAACAAGGCGATAGCGGCCGTAGCAGCTGAGCACATCATGGCAATAGGCGACTTGGTGAGCCGGTCTCTCGCTACTGTTGCTGGGGCAAAGCACTGTTAGATGAAATCGGTGATGGACCTGCTCACGAAAGGCGAGATGCAAGAGGAAGCCAAACGACGTCTGCTAGCTGAAGCTGAGAGCAAGTAGTAGCTCTCTGCTGTTGGCGTCCCCGTGGTGGTCGTGATGTTCACTGTGTAGGATGGTGGACATAGAGCGCAGTAAGACGAAGCTGCAGTCCTTGATGGGTGCCTCTGGCAACGAGACGTCGGGGGAGTCGGGTTCTATGAAGAGAGCTAGAGGGATGATGGGGTAAGGGTGTTATACTTGTCAAGATTTGTCATTGATCGTTTAGTGACACTCAAATGGAATTGCTGCATCGTCGGGAGGAGATGAAACAGAGATTGAAGAAAGGCTTGGTTTTCCTGGACCATCATATCAGCGACGCTCATGACTTCCTACAGCTCCACCTCAGGGATCTGGAGAAGGCCTTGAGGGTAGGTGTATACCGGTTTGTGGGGTTCACTCGCGATTGCAGATTATGATAGAGCAGTTTCGCAAGCTACTGAATGGCGAGGCGGTAACGTTTGCCAAGTCGGACCAAGAGGATAGCGCTGGCACAGTAAGTCGATGCCGCTGTGAATGACGGCTATGGTGTGTCTTCGATATTGTGTGGATGCGTTGGTACTATGATAGGCGAAGAAGCTCGGCGGTGTTGAGGCCGGCCTCGAGAAGGATATGAATAGAAATAAAGTCAGGTTGGAGAGCATACTAAATGTAAGCAGTCTTTGCAGCAAGAATAGATCGTTCGATGAGAATTCAGGTCGACAAGGAATCCACGATGGACTTCACGACGTTGCTGGGTAAGCTCACCGCACAAGCCC